GCCAGGCTGGTCTCGAACTCCTGAGCTCGGGCAATCCACCCGCCTTGGCTTCTCAAAGTGCTAGGATTGCAGGCGTTAACCACCGCGCCTGGCCTTAAAATTTTGACTGTAAGTAATATTGCATTTTCTATAAAAATATTTAAGAATTGCAAATTAGAAAATAAACCAATTCAACTTTAAATAAATAAATAGAGTCTCTTGTAGACACTTTAAAAAGTGCATTGTGGGCTGGGCGCGGTGGCTCATGCCTGTAATCCCAGCACTTTGGGAGGCCGAGGCAGGCAGATCACAAGGTCAAGAGATTAAGACCATCCTGGCCAACATGGTGAAACTCCGTCTCTACTAAAAAATACAAAAATTGACTGGGTATGGTGGCACGCACCTGTAGTCCCAGCTATTCGGGAGGCTGAGGCAGGAGAACTGCCTGAAGCTGGGAAGTGGAGGTTGCAGTAAGCCAAGATTGTGCCATTGCACTCCAGCCTGGCAACAGAGCGAAACTCCATCTCAAAAAAAAGAAAAAAAGAAAAAAAAAAAAGTGCATTCTGGCCGGGTGTGGTGGCCCACACCTGTAACCCTAGCACCTCTGGGAGGCCGAGGTGGGTGGATCGCCTGAGGTCAGGAGTTCGAGACCAGCCTGACCAACATGGCGAAATCCCATCTCTACTAAAAATACAAAACTTAGCTGGACATGGTGGCACTCCAGCCTGGGTGACAGAGTGAAACTCCATCTCAAAAAAAAAAAAAAAAAAGTGCATTCTGAGACCAGGCACAGGTTGTTCATTTGCCTTACAATGTTTTTAAGGAATGCTCTCTGCACAGCCACTTTTCTGCCCTGAGTTAGAGTTAGACAAAACAAAGGTAGGCACTTTGTGTCAATCCTTCAAGTAGCCCACCAACAAATTAGAACAGACAAAAGTCTTTGAGAATAAGGTCTTCTCTGCTCCCTCTGGAACCAGGAACCAGGGTCCTACATTGAGAACATGGGCTGCCATCTTCAAGAGTACAACCAAGCCAGGGAGGCGGGGTGGGGCAAGAGTGAGTAAAAATGCTGCAAAGCTTTTCTGCCATTTTTAGGTTGCCTCTTCCTGGATTCAGCATTCTCCTGGTTACTGCAATCTTTTACTATTCTCCAGAGTTCTCAAAATGTTGGTTCTGACAGTTTCTTCTTACTTTTTGGTGTTTCTGTGGATGAACAAGCCCTTAGAGTTACCTACCACATGATTTAATTTTTACATTTAGATTTCTGATCCATATGGAGTTTATCCTAGTACATAGTGTGGGTTCAATTTTAATTGTTGTCAAATGGCTATTCAATTACCCCTAGTCTATTTACTAAAAAGTCTTTCTGGATGGGTGTGGTGGCTCACACCAGTAATCCCAGCACTTTGGGAGGCTGAGGCGGGTGGATCACCTGAGGTCAGGAGTTCAAGACCAGCCTGGGCAACATGGCAAAACCCCATCTTTACTAAAAATACAAAAATTAGCCAGGCGTGGTGGCTGGTGCCTGTAATCCTAGCTACTCAGGAGGCTGAGGCAGGGAGAACTGCTTGAACCCGAGAGACGGAGGTTGCAGTGAACTGAGATCCTGCCACTGCACTCCAGCTTGGGTGAGAGAGTGAGACTCTGTCTCA